GAACAATCACCTACCTTGTGCAATACACAAAATTAACTCAAAACAGACCAAAGACTTTGAGAGCTGAAAAAACAAAAATTTTAGAACAAAACATAGGAGAACATCTTTAAGACCTTGAGTTAGGCAAAGATTTCTATACTATAAAGCATGATAAACTGGACCTGATCAAAATTAAAACAATTTTTAGAAAAATTAAAGTTACTGCACTTCAAAAACAACCATTTAAAAAGAAAAAGACAAGCAAGAGATCAGAAACTATGTATATGCAAAACACCTATACATAAAGTCTGATAAAGGACTTAATTCCAGAATACAGGGCTTCTCAGACGGGGCAGTGGTGAAGAATCTGCGTGCCAATGCAGGAGACCTAAGAGATGCGGGTTCAATCCCTGGGTTGTAGAGATCCCCTGAAGCAGGGCAAGGCAACCGACTCCAGCATTCTTGCCTGGAAAATCCCATGGACAGAAGAGCCTGGTGAGTCCATAGTGTCACAAAGAGTTGGACACGACTGAGGTAACTTAGCACACATCCAGAATATATAAAGAACCCTTACAATTCCATGGAATAAGACAAACAATGCACATCCAAAACTGAGTGGACATTTCACCAAAGATACATGAATGGTAATAGGCACATAAAAAGATGCTATACATTACTGTCATTAGGGAAATGCAAATTAAAACCACAACGACATAACTATTTCATGCCCAGTAGAATGGCCAAGTTATGTAAGAAAAGTAAGAACAAATGTTGGCAAGGATGTAGAGAAATTGGAATCCTCATACACTGCTGGTGGGAATGTAAACGATGAAACTGGAAAAGTTTGAATTTGTCCAAAGTTTAACATAAAACTTTCACATTCAGCAATTCTACTTCTAGAGAAGTGAAAACATGTTTCCACAGGAAAACATCTAATAGCCAAAAATTGTAAATAACAAACATCCTTCAACTGTGAAAATTTAGACAAAATGTGGCATTATCCAGAAAACAGAGGATAACTCAGCCAAAACAAAAAAATAAATTACTGACACATACTATATCATGAATAAAATCTCAAAAACCTTTGAAAAAAAAAAAGGAAGTCAAGCAAGAGAGGTCACATACTGTATGGTTCCATTTATATCAAATGTTCAGAAAAGGCAAATTTAAAAACAGGAAGTAGGAAATTCCCTGGCAGTCCAGTGGTTAGGGCTCTGCACTTTCACTGCAGAGGGCACTGGTTCCATTCTAGGTAGGGTAACTAAGAATCCATAAGGCTCAAAGCACACACATCTCCGCCTCCACACGCAAAAAAGAACACAAAGTACATCAGTGCTTGACTGGGGTTAAGGGTGTGAATGGGCTTCCCTGCTGGCTCAGCAGTATACAATCCACCTGCAATGCAGGAGTTGTAGGAGACGAAAGTTGGATCCCTAGGTCGGGAAAATCCCCTGGAAGAGGCACAGCAACCCACTCCAGTATTCTTGCCTAGAGAATCCTATGAACAGAGGAGCCTGGTGGGCTAAAATAGGGTCACAAAGAGTCAGACATGACTGAAGTGACTTAGTGCATGCGCATGCACATACGCTAAGGTGTGAATGGGGATTAACATAAATGACTAAGAAAAATCTTACAGAAGGGATGAAAATATTATCAAACTGATTTATGCTAAAGATTGCACAATATAGAAAGTTACTAAAAATAATTGAATTGTATGCTTGAAAGGAGTGGATTTCAAAATATGCAATATACAACTCAATAAAGCTGTTTTTGTGGGACTAGCCTGGTGGTACAGTGGCTAAGACTCCATGATACCAATTGCAGGGGACGTCAGGGAACTAGATCCTACATGCGGCAATTAAAGAATCCCCACGCCACATCAAAGATCGGAGATCCTGCATGCCACAACTAAAATCCAGAACAGCCAAATAAACAGATATTTTTTTAAATAAATTGTAATCTGATCTTTAAAACAGGTATGGAAAAAAAACACTGAAAAATCTATAGTAGGTACTCGACATGTGAATGTTGAATAAATAAGGAGGAGTATAATTACTGCAGGCAGTGATTTTTTTTCAGAGTATCCTAACACATGTCTGTCTACTGGGAGGAAGGGTGAAAATATATAACACTGAGAAAAGAGCCACACTGGGATAACAGAGATACAAGCTGAAGTGTGCATTCAAACACTTATAGCTATGGGGTATCACGAAAGTCATTAAACCATGCTGAGTTTAAGTTTCCCTGTATAGAGTCATCTGAGTACTTAACACAATGAATGAATGCTTACTTCCTATGGTTGTTAGTGACCTAAGAACTGATAGTTGGTGGCAGTTGTATAGTATTAATAGTAAAAACTACATTAAGAATGGCCCAATATTTATTTGGTAAAGAAATGTCACATTTCCTTGGTGACAGATGGTAAACAGACTTATTGTGGTGATCATTTTGTAATGGTTAAAACCAAAGCATACAAGAATCTTTTTCTCAAGGAAACAGACTGAGGTGAGGCAAAAGCACCACCAATCAAGACACAAAATTCCTCAAGAGTGGCATGTATGATTAAACATCGCACATGCAACAAAGGCACTCCAATGGAAATACATACATCTAAAATGCTTATACAAAGTAAAAAATTTTTAAAGGGAAGGTATGTCAAAAATAAAACTAGGCAGACAGCAAGAATCATTAAAATAAGAAATAACTCACACCAACAGTTTGTTCCTTCTTCACAGGGGAATCATAAATTAAGGAGAAGGATATATTTTATTAAATTGCTGATATATTGGAAAGAGGAAAGGCACCACGCATGCAAGTAACGTTTCCAGCTCCATTTTCAAACACCTAGAGCCATAGCATTTAGTTCAGAGGCTGATACAGTCCACAGGACAAATCTGGCCTGCTACCTATTTTTGTAAATGAAGTTGTATTGAAAGATAGCTGCACACTTATTTACATTTTGTCTGTGGCTGCTTCTGTGCTTCTATAGCAGAGTTGAATATTGACTACAGAGACTGACTGACAAGCCTAAGATATCTACTATCTGGCTGTTTACAAAAAAAACTTATTGTAGATTTCGTTTATTTACTGTTAAGTATATGCTGATACAGTTTAAATGTTTAAACCAAGGAATTAAAGGATAAGAGTTCTGACCCTGATAATGTACTGGTTTAAAAGATATTCTGGGAACATTACATGGTAGGATATACCCTGATGCTGCTTTGGAGTCTGTTCAGACAGAGAAGACCTAAGCAAGATTTAAGTCAGCTTCCTCACATCTGTATCATAGGCATAATACCATATCTTCCAGTATGGTATGCATAGCACCCAAAACTGTTAACAGTAGCTGGTAATAACTATTCAATAAATGTTAGTACCTTCCATCTACATACTAAGCTGGGGCTTTCATCTCCTCCTTGTAAGTTTACATTAACCCTCATTCTTTAAAACCAGGACTCCCGTCACAAAGAGACACTATTGTGCAATATACCCTATTCCTTATTTATCCAATATGGACCTAGCAATCTGTAACATCCCTAAAACTTTTCTAAAGTAATGTCCATATGTAACATGAGCCAGTTTCATAACTATAGTTCTTATCATGTAAAATCTCAGGATACAACACACTCTCACATGTCTATGTACATACATACATAGTTTTGCCTTAGAACTCATTTCTCAAACTCAGAGAAAAGTTCTAGAATAATAACTATATTATCCTATCCCCTTCAAGACTTTTGATTTTTATAATCATTTTTCAGTCTTTGTCTTTCCAAATAAAAAAGGACTAATCATTTTTTAATCAGTCCTCATTTCTGAGTCCATAATCTTTCTGGTCAAAAACAAAGAAACAACAACAAAAAAAGATCCATGTAAACTATGGACTTTGGATGATAACGATATGTCAATATAGGTCCATCACCTGTAACAAAGGTACCACTCTGGTGAGGGACAGTGATAATAGAAGCTATGAATGTGCAGGTCAGAGAGTACAAGGGAAATCTCTGTGTTCTCCCCTCAATTTTATTATGAGACTAAATCTGCTCTAAAAAATGAAGCTTTAACTTAAAACAATAATAAATAGAAGATTTAAAAGTCAGAATCCTCTAGCAAAGTGCTATTTCCCAGGACAGTCCCGATTCAGGCTTGTCAGCAGAGATAATTATTAACAACACCCTCATTAGCTCCCTTAAGTGTCCTGGGTTGCAGGATGAATTATATGGTCACCACACTTCTATGCCTCAACTTTCTCCACCTAAGAAATAAATCAGTACTTCAAAATACAAACTTGATAAATGACTAGAGGAAGGGAGATTTAAGACTTTGCCACCCAAACTGTGGAAATAAGTTTCTTTTCATTCTTTTTTTTTTTTCTTTTCATTCTTAAAGCTGGCTGCTTAGGATCCTCTCTTCCCTCGTCATTGTCCAGGATCCAGATGGTAACATTTTTTTAAACCCCATATACATAATAAGCTAAACATATAATTGTGAAGGACCTATACTCATTAGCATCCTGTGTAGTTTAAGAATGTATATAGAAATATTTTTTAAAGAATCTGACAAAATTTTTAAAACAAAATGCTTTATGTGAGAAAGTAAGATATTAAACATATACATGGGGAAGGGAAGGGAATCTGAAAAACAAAGCTAAATATTAACTGTGGTGCTATTTCAGTAGTGTTACTAGGTTAATACACTCTTTGTCTCTATTTTCCAACTTAATTAAAAGGAATCTGTACTGTTTATACTGAAAGATTCTCAATGCAGCCAAAGAACAGCCAAAGATGTTCATACTAAAGCTGAAGTGAATATACATGGGATGCACCCAAATGTGGATAAATTCCAAACTGCTGTGCTACCTAGGTACAGCCTCAACAACATGAGGTACTTTAGGAAGGCACAGAACACCCAGGACACCTCTAGGATAAAGGGATCGTCCTTTGCTTATGCAAAGTACTTCTAATGTCATCAGTGGCAAGAGATTTCTAGAGTTCAAGGTGGTGTAGAGTATTGGTTCTTACCCAGGTTTAAGCTTGAAGAGGATCCATGTGAAGAGAGGGAAGGAGGTGGTGTCTGTGAATGTCCTGGTCCCTGACTAGGGAGAGGCATGCCCACGGGTCCAGGAGAGGAGGAAAAGCTAAGGCCGTTATAAAAACTGTGTCCAATGGGGGTCAAGCTGCTCGATGTCCTCTTATAAAGGTCACTGCTGCCAGTCAGGGAGTCACGGCGGGAGCCACTGCCAGTGTTGGAGTTTGCAACTAAAATGGAATTAAAACAATGCAGATAAGAACAGGCCTGTTCTTCGAAGAACAAGCCCAGTGACCTGTTCCTAACACTTTGATCCAGACTCCTTACCACCGCAAATTTGTCAGCAGAGACAGCCTAACTGTTCATGTGGCAGTTCTAGGGGCAGGTAAAGTAATAAAGAGGACATGGCTCAGGTTAACATGAAACGTATTTTTCAAACCATCACACGTATGTTAAATTCTCCTTCCTTTTGTGTCTCATATTATGGGGGTAGGGGTGGGTTAAAATCCTCTGATGGCCACACAAGTTATGGGAAAGGTGAAAGAAAATGGGCTAGAAAGAATGCCTTTCATCAACCCAAAGGTTCTGGTAGAAAAATGGAGTAGAAAAAGGATCTGTGGAGGGGGTACTGCCCCACTACACAAGACTTACATGTAGAAGCCTGGTTTCTCAAAGGGTTCAATCAACAGATATTACTAGCTCCCAATTCCAATTTAAGATACTGTCTCTCAAATAAACCCTTCTGTTTTGATTACACTGTCTTACAAACACTGCAATTACTCCATTATTTTCCTTACTACTTTCCCACTTTTTTCTCCCATTAAAACATTTAAAATATCTTAAGTCTAATTTCCTTCCTCCCACTTTTCCATAATATCCACCTTAATTCTTCTCAAGACTAGAGAAAACTCATGACTCTTTAAGGCCTGCAGGTTGTGGAGTATACCACCCTAAGATTTTTGGTAAGTCCTCCTCCCTCAGTTTTTCATATCCACACTTGTATACTTTCCTCCACGTTCTCCCCAATGCCTGCAGTAATCTCCCCAGATTTTCTAATCCTTAAAAAAAAAAACGGACTCTGAGAGGATAAACAAGTAGCAATGTGCGTGTAAACCTGAAATAGGCCCCAAATGTATAACCTGATTGAATAGTCCATTATCTCAAAGACGTGTGGAACAGCTGGGTTCCCACGGGACTCAGTCCAGATCTGCCTGTGGTATCTGTCCAGGGTTCCATGCACTGTCAGTAATTCCATAAAGATTGTAAAAAATAATTAAAATTTAGTTTCAGCACATCCGTCTGATTTCTACCTGCTGTTCCAAACCCTCCAAGGGCTGATCCCAGGGTGGCGCCGAGAGAACTGCTACTTCCGAACCCCAGGGATGTGTTGGCAGGCTGGGCAGAGCCCTGGGAGAAGAGGGAGCTGCTCTGCGAACTGCTGCTCAGAGAGTTGTTGCCGTAGAAAGAGCTGGATGCCAGGTTGTTACTGGGCTGCTGCTGGGGCTGGGGCTGCGGCTGCTGAGTTCCTAAAGGGCGAAATGGTCCGTTTGTTGTTCCAGCAAGACCACCGGCTGCTCCATTTGCTGAAGCTGCGGCCGCTGCAACAGCTATGTAGAAGAAAGCAAACCATATGGCTATGAAAGAGACTGGCCACATTTCCAAACTGCATTGTTATCCTTCTGAAAACCTTTTAATGCTGCCGTATCTGTTCAAAGTCGACACAAACCTTGTAAAGAACTACATAAATCTGTCTTCCATCTCAGACCCCTTCACCGGAAGCTCCACTAGTCTTTTCCTACTTGTACTCTCAACTCAGAGCCAGAACACCGCTGCAGTGTGGGCGAGTTAGAGAGTCTATGATTCAAGATAGATATGGGTATCAAAGGTGCTCATTTCAAACAGAACCGCTTCCTAAAGTTTCCAGTTCTACAAATATCTACATTAAGGACATTTTCTCCAGAATCACATACTGAAGCCCTGAAATTCTTAGGACACTTAAGCATATTCCTCTCCCCTAGATACCCCCACTGTTGTTCCCAAATTTATAATATATATCATAATACTATGTATGTATATATGACATATATACATATAAAGACTTAAAATAAAAATCTATTGCTGCCCTCCCCCACCATAAGCAAGAAACAAAAACAAAACAAATATCAAATCATCGAAAAATAACAATATGAATTTCTGTGAAATTAGCCTTGGACTTCTGCCAACAGTGCCATTTTGTGTGAGTAATCCAACTTCCTATGCTCACAGCAGAGCAGGTCCTTGCTGCTAACCAGCTGGTGCATGCTGTCAACAGAATCAGAATCTATCAAGGTCACTTGCCACTTCTGACTGACTCCCTTTGAAAAATTACAGGATAGAATTCTTCCTGAGAACTGTCATTAAAGCTATTTCAGCGTAGTTTAAGAACATCGTCCATCCTCCCTTCCAGATCTGAGTGAGTCCGCCACGACATAAGCTCACCTGCTTGTGCAGCTGAGGAGCTAATAATGACTGGGGCAGGAGCTACGAGTCGAACAGGAGCTCCAAGACCATTTCTCGCTCCTGCATTCACCACAAGGGCACCAGTTTGGTCATAGTAAGCAGCGGGAGCCAAGACTGGATAACCTGAGAATATTAAGGTGACAGATAAGTATATATGAAACTAACAAATGTTTCCTGGACACCAGCAAACTGTAAACAGTTACAAACTCAGCACTAGGGACAGAAACACCCAGCTTTATATCCTGGCTTGACCACTTAAGATAGCAGCATAACCCTGAGTGTCTGGGTAGTATCCTCGTAAGGTTAATAATAATATCTGACTCACAAAGTTCTTATGAAGATTAAAAAATGAGTGTGAGAGATGTAGCATGCAATGTGGCAGAGTAGGGGGTAGTGTAATTTATTATACACCAAGTGTTAGAAAGGGAATTTAGTGAGACAGCGAACAACTGTACTCTTCAGAGTGCTAACCATGGTTATCACCAGCAACCATACACTGACAATTATTTTATGTTTTCTTGACTATACAATTCATATCACATAATCTAAACACAAATATACAGAAAGTTATCAGGGAAACTCTAGACAAGCTTCCATTAACAGGTTCTTTCAATACTCTGAGACAGAATCTTCAAATGCTATTGAGCCATAAGATTAAATACAGTTGACGTCATAATAAAACATAAATGCTTAGTACTAACAACATGCATGATCTAAGTTCAAGTTACTCAGTGAATTCATAAATAGATAAGCTGATCTAGCTATATGCCAGGGTCAGTAAGAATCCATGAACTTATACTGAGGTCTCAGAAGGACTTGTTTCAAAGGCAAAACCTCAACCTACAGGCAATCCATGCAAAGAATAAGACCAGGAGACAGTAAGTTAAGAAGAACATGTATTCAGCATACATATCAATCATAGGTAGACAGCTACAAAGCACCTCTACTGTTGGTTTGGGAGAAATTCTAGAAATGTAAGGGGAACATGATAAAGAATACTAGGAATGTCTTCCTAATAATACTGTTCACAAATATCAGCCTTGGAATGATGCTGATGTAACCTGGCCACTCCTTTCATTCTTAACACTGAGTGAGAAAACAGACTACCATCAAAGGAAAGCAGGATAACCCAAGCTATGTGTGGAGGTTCACATATTTCCAACATGTGAGATTATGACTGGCTCAGAATACTAGGTGCTCTCATCAACAAACTATGGTCTAAGTGACGGCAAGTGTATGTCATCCTCACCAGTCCCCAAATGATGACAAGCCTAATAAGCAAGGCCAAAGTACTGCCATTCTCCTCTGAACCTCCCCCCCAATAAGCAGACTTTTTCCCCCTCAAATGAGGGACAAATGCAGCCTCACCTGGCATGCCTGCAGCCAGTCCTTGTCCAAATGCAAGGGCAGAATTCACTGCTGCAGCTGCCACTAGCGGATCAGCTTGCTGTCCCTGCTGGTTCTGATTTGGGGTCAAAGGACGCTGGCTGGCTCCTCCACGGAGAACCTGGGAGACAGGAAAATCACTGGAAACATCTAAGACCCAACACGTGCTTAAGTTAAATCGACTTTAAAAACTGATGGCTGTAAACCATTTTTCCAATAATGCTTTTATGTGACATGGATGTTAGGATTAAAAAAAAATCAATTAACAGCATTTCATATAGTGAAATTTCATTCTATCACTTTTAGTTTAAGAAACATATTACCTTTATAAGAGTTAAAAGCATTTAAAAGTTATAATTCAGTCCTTAATCAAATACTTAATGCCTAACATCTGGCAGGTACTGGGGATAAAGCAAGGAGCAAGGCACACAAAGCTCCTTTTTGAAGTTTTTATTCCAGTGAATGGGAGCTAGACAGTAACCCTAAAATAATCAAAAGAGGATGAAAAAAATTATGCTGGAGTGGATGAGAGGTTTAGATATGATAAACAGGAGTAATTTACCCACATCACCAAGTTATAATATCTGTATTAAAAAAATAAAAACCAAACACACAAAAAAGGTTGTATTTTCTTTATGGAATATGAGAACATTTTCTCTACCCTATAACACTATTCCCGTTCATCAGAGGCCAAACAGCCCCAAATGAAATCAACAGATTTGATTGTAAAAGGCGTCTGACCTATTTCTATTTTTCCTCATAAATCTCACAGAGAGCAATCTAAACTGATGTACGTATCAGTCAAGAACATTGACATTTCAGTGCAGAATATCTGTTCTGCCACTGTGATAAAGGATTTTTTCTTTAATTAATGAAAGATAAGATGCTGATAATCATTGTTAAGAATATATTCCAAGAGATCTATATATGACAATAAGTAAAAACGCAAAACTCAGTAACAAGGTAAAATTACCAAAGTTTATGCATTTTGCAAAGTTTTCAAAGGTGAAGTTCTTACCAGATCATTTTCATTATCACTTTGCTATTTATAAAAGTCAGACATGTAATCAAGAGCCCATGTACAGAGAAACACTACTATCAAATATTTATTAAATGAGTATTTAAGATGAAAGGCACTGTCCATATTGGCAAAGAGAGATGTACAAACACTAAATCCACCAAAAGTTTCTCATTTCCTTATCCACAGTAGTGAGAGTAATAGCTGATCATGCAAATTTGTAGGAAGTATTAGAATTAATGTCTGCAAGGCATTAAACCTAGTAACCAGGAAACAATCAATAACCAATAGTTAATTCCTATCAAAGACCCAGAGGGATGGGATGGAGAGGGAGGGGGGAGGGGGGAGGGGGGATCGGGATGGGGAACACATGTAAATCCATGGCTAATTCATGTCAATGTATGGCAAAACCCACTACAATATTGTAAAGTAATTAGCCTCCAACTAATAAAAAGAAAAAATGAAAAAAAACATTCCTATCAAAATATTAGGCAATTTATCTATCTGTGACCGAAAGAATTCTAGTGGACTTTACAAGAGACAGAATGCTTCAATCTATATAGATAGAAGATTCAAGAGAAGGTGCACAGGTGAGAGTTTGGGCCAAGACTGAGAAGATGCCTCACCAACAATCCAGAGAGCTCTTACTCAAGGAAAAGTCAATAGTATTTACAGAGATATGGCAAATACTAATAGTTCAAAATTTTTTTTAATTTTAAAAGAAGAAGAAAAATCAATGAAAGCATAATGAATTAGGCTTATGTTTTGTTAGGAGTTGTGTATAAGGTCAGAGGACAGGGAAATGGACAAGGTGTCAGAAGAAAGGGGTAGTCCAGACCACTGAGTTCTGTTTTACAATGAAGACAGCAATGTGTATCCTTTTGGTCAACTCTCTAGAGATCGATGTGGTACTCTTGATGATAAACCAAAGTTTGTAAGTCAGCTCCCAATATTCATATTTTAATTTCATAAAGAACTGTCAAGCCCGGGAAACAAATATGTAAAATTTCACAAGTAACATTTTACACATCAAATAAAATCAACAAAAATGACTGAATATCTATTTGTAAAACACTATCCTACGAGTCAGTTTACTATTTTCATGATGCAAAAAGTATTAAATTCTAATTTCTTTTCAAAGGTAGTGATTTTAAATGCAGCATTAAAATTTAATAAGCAAGCAGTTGCTCAATGGAGATATTTTAACAAGCATTCATCCTTCTATAGTTCATCATACTTGGTAGAATCAACATCTATATAGTCTCCCCTCATCTAGAGGCTTCAGAAGCCATTCTAAACTTTTCTCTTATGATACAACACCCAGCATCAAGCCACCACCAAGATTACCGCCATGCCTGAGTTCACCTAATATCCAGAATTTTTTCTTCACCAAATATTTTGAAATTTTTAAAAAATGAACATTTTTATCAGGTGTCAAAGGAATCTTCAAAAAGAATGAAAAAGCAATCAGAAAAAAGATGGAGTGGCCAAGAGGTCAACTCCAGCAATTAGATTTGGAAAAGAGTTAGCATATCTAGTGCACCAGGCCCTAGACCCAGAGGGATCGGGTAGAGAGGGAGGTGGGAGGGGGGATCGGGATGGGGAATACATGTAAATCCATGGCTGATTCATGTCAATGTATGACAAAAACCACTACAATACTGTAAAGTAATTAGCCTCCAACTAATAAAAATAAATGAAAAAAAAAAAAAAGTTAGCATATCTAGCAGGTAACAAATGCTTTCTGATAAAAGGCAAAGGCCAAAAAGGTCGAAAGTTGTAAAAGGACCTCTCATTTAAATGACTAGAACCAAAAAAGTTCACCAGGAAAATCATATTTTCCTAAAACATCTGAAGTCAGAAATTGGCAAAAATGACACTGGAATGAAAAAATGGATACTTGTCAAAACATAATTTGAATAACTTTTTCACAGTAGAGTCTGTTATTGCCGGTGACAGAAAACTCGGAAATAATGAACCTGACTGTCATGCTCAATTTATAGCTAAGGATATATTCAGAGATATCATAAAACTTGCCTTAGTTGCAACCAGTTAGTGGTAGAACCAAGACCAGATCTCAGGTTTTCTATCACTCTAGATATCACAATATGGTCAGAAGATAGCACAAACTGTGAACTTACACACTTATGTTCAAATCTTAACAATTTAATACGTGTGTGACCCTGGGCACAGAAATTCCATTCCCTCAATCTTATGCTGGGAAGTCATGTAATCTACTTATTAGAATTAGAATGAAAAAAACTATATGTAGAGCACTTAGCTTTAAACAAAAAGCTTTCAGTAAGATGTACTTATTACTATTTTTCTTATTCAGTCTATTAGAGCTGATTTAAAAACATGGCTATTCATCTTCCAAATCCATGATCTGGCAGCCGTTTAAAACACTAAGATCATCACCTGATAAGTACCAACTTTCCACAAAGAGTAGCTACTGATATTAAGAAATTTATTAATAGAGGTCACTCTTCTGTCAACAACTTATGTGCTGAATCCCCTCTGCACATGGTACTAGAATTGTACCTACTATAAAGAAAACCACACATTAACTTCCAAAAAGTCATCTAACTGAAAAAATACTGAGCCAGACAAAACTAGCTAGCATTTCAAGACCTGGTTTTTCTACAAACTTGTGAAATCTAAGAAATTAAACATACACTTTATTAGTGAGAATGATAAAAAGCAAACGATTCTTGTCTGGATCATTATCATATGTACATATATGAGCATGGTGTTTTTCCTCAAAATGAAAAAAAAAAAACTTTTAATTTGATGATGCTTATCAAAAGCCTAAATGCTCATTTTATTCACTCAAAAAAAATTTCCATTTCCAGGACATTATACCATGGAAATAATCAAGGATTTATGCAAAGGATATTAAGCTTATTTATAACATCAAAATATTTCTAAGTTATAGCAGCAGTTACATAAATAAAACAAATAATAATGGACCTGTCAAAATAAAGAATGAGGCACTCTTCAATGGATTTAAAAACAATAAATAGCACAGAAGAATATAATAACAAGATGCAAAGCTGTGTGGACAGCATAATCCCAATTTTATAAGAAATTAATTAAATGGTAAGACTAGAATGACAGATACCAAACATTTATACTGGTTTTTTCCTGACACAAGGATTTAAGGGATTTATTTTTCCCTTCAAGTAATTCAATTCACCACAACTTTCAGAAATAAATAGGTATTATTCTAGCAAGCAAGAGAAAATAGGCTAATATAAAAAGACACTTAGTTTTGCAATTAAGTATTCCTTTTCTTATCTTGGTTAAAAAGCTTACTCTAAGTTAAAAAAGATATAAATAGGTTTAAGATCTATGTCCAATTCAACAGATGTTACTACACATAAAACAGACAAACAAGGACATACTGATAACACAGGGAACTATATTCAATATCTTGTAATAACCTATAATGAAAAAGAATTTGAGAAAGAATATATAAATATATATGCATATGTGTATATATGTATGTATAACTGAATCACTTTGATGTACACCTGAAACTAATACGTAAAACAACTATACTTCAATTTTTTTTATAAAACTGACACCATAAATAAGCAATCTGAAGAACTAGTACCTCCCCTTTGGTAGCAAACTACTTAAAAGAGATAGCCAGAAGTGATCTGAGAATGGTGCTTAGAAAGTAGCCAAAGTATCAAAGCAAGAAAACTTGACCATCACTAAACTGGAAAATCCTCTTAAGCAGTATCACATGGTATGTCATACCATGATCTCACTTTGTCACGCTGACCAAAGAACAGATATATAAAAGGCATTCAGTAAAGTACAGGTGAGTCTGTCTGAACTCATATACCACACAAGGGAACTCACTCATTCACCATCCACAGTCTCTCTATCAGGAACAACATTACCCTTTAATTATACACAATAACTAATATTCACACTTAAGTGGGGTAAATTTTGTTGACATTTACCTGCTGCTGTCCTTGCTGAGCCTGTGGGGTGGTCTGCTGATTAGCAGAATTTGTTGCTGCAGCAGCGGCGGCGGCTTGCTGCTGGAAAAGACTGGCAGGGTAGACTCCCCAGGGAGTAACTCCGTAATACTGGGGAGGGACCACAGCCGGGCCTAAAAATAGCAAGAGAAAGGTAAGAAAAATTTAGATTATTAACAATCAGAGTTTCCAAAGACTATACTTGATTCAGCAGACACTGCTGTAAAATATTAATATACTGATTCATTCTAGCTAACCATGAGTTCTATTTTTTAAAAACAGAAAATATTATATGTGATTCCCACACCAAAGTCTTCTAAAGTCAGCAATATACTCCAGGCCTAGAGAAAGAAGCTGGTGAAGGACCAAGCATTGGAGATATTGAAAGGGAGTATAACTGATAGAAGCTGGAAGAGGCTAAGAACAGATGGAGGAATTGGCCCTGGTCAAGAAGGCAAAGGTGTGTTTTGCCCCTGAGAAAGAAAAAAATATATAGGATATATAGAGACAAAGTTTGCTGTTAAAAGGGAAATGGAAAGTTTGTATGCTTAGTGATGAAACACAGCAAAAGATGAAGCTGCACCCTGCTTTCAGTGTAAGGATGAATGGCACCTGAAGCGACTGATGGGGACAGGGATCTTGGTGGTTCATTAACTCCAGAAGCATGAAAATTCATCAGTTGTCTGACAACAAAGCCCAGACACGCCACTGAAACTCCACGGCTCAAATATGAAGAGGCTTGTTTTTCCCATCTCTGTTTTTTAATGTCACAAAAAGCATTCAACGCAACTACATTTAGATATCAGGATGTGAAATTTTAAACTTAAGTCAAAGCTGAAAACAAACGGAAATGAAAAACAAAAAAACCTCGACTTCTCACAGACCTGAGTATTCTATACAAAACTGAGCATTCTGTTTTAACCTCTTTGTCAACAAGCTACCACTGCAGTCTCTGCCAAATAGAACAAGCAAGAGAGAAGTTAACAGAGCTATGCAGACAGCAACCTGGGTGGGGCAAAAATCTAAACCACAGAATTCTCTGAAGCTGGTGGCAAGAAACATCAAGGCTCACTTGTCAACCAAGACAAGGGCACAAAGCCAGCATCTCACATGTGCAGGAATACATATCTAATGAGAATTTTCCTAGTTAAAGCACAGTTTCAAATATTTGCAACTTGATTAAATAATAACTGCACTTTTCAGTGAAATTCCACAGAGCTGTTTCAAATACATCCATTCTGACATAGTAGCCAATCCTGTAGAAATATGTACTTCATTAAGTCAAAATAAATTCGCTCATGTTTTTGCTTCTCCATTAAATTCTAAAACACAAATAAGTCAAATTATATTACTGTCCAATATTATTCTGACATTTCTTTTCTTCTGAACTCTGACATTTCTAATTTGGCATTTTCTCTATCTGTAGCCTTAGACAAGATCAAAAATCTGTTTATAAAGGTGCCCACAGTCAAACACAGTGCAAAATGAAGGTGCTGCCTAGGAAGGCTATGCTACAGTATGAGTTATTTTTTAATAATAAGCAAATAGGTTAAAAAATTTCAAACATGTGGGCATGTTTGGCTCGGGGTGCATCATTAATTGAGCTTGATTCCCTCGGGATGCCTGTTTCAATTTCTGTGGATTAACATTCCACAAGAATATGCAGTTTCACAGTTTGGGTAGTTAACATTTCTGCTCTGTGCAAAAGCACTTAATTCATTTTCAGTCTGGCTCACATGATAAGTACAAAAGCAAGATTCTCATCATCAAATTATGATCTCACTGAGGACAACTTTTGTCATCTCTAAGACTGGTTCTTTGTTTCAAATAACATATGGTAAGTTAGTAGAGGAAAGTTAGTAAAGGAAAGAAAGTAGAGAAAAGATAATTTAAGACAACATGAACACTATATGACAGTGAAGTACATGCACAGGCTTTGAGCTAGATCTGACTTAAATCTCAACTCTATAACATTTAAATTACGTGACCTCTACTACCCAAAGCAATCTACAGAATTAATGTCATTCATATCAAATTACCCATGACATTTTTCACAGACCTGGAACAAATAACCCTAAAATTTATATGGAACCAGAAAAGACCCAAAATTGCCAGAACAATTCTGAGAAAAAGAACCAAGCAGGAGGCATAATCCTGCCAGATTTCAGACAATACTACAAGGCTACAGTAATCAAAACCGCATGGTACTGGCACAAAAACAGACATACACACACCAGTGGAGCAGAAAGGAGAGCCTAGAAACAAATCCACACACCTACGGTCAAATTAGTCTTCAACAAAGGAGGCAAAACTATACAATGGAAAAAGGACAGTCTCTTCACCAAACAGTGCCGGGAAAAGTTGAACAGCCACATGAAAATAAATGAATTTAGAACACATTCTCAGACTGTACAAACTGCCTTAAAGACTTAAGATATGACACCATAAAACTCCTAGAAGAGAACATTGGCAAAACATTCTCTGACATAAACCATACCAATGTTTTCTTAGGTCAGTCTCCCAAAGCAACAGAAATGAAAACAAAAATAAACAAAAGGTACACAGCGAAGCTTACATACACAAGCAAATAAATACAAAGTGATAAGAGAAAGCGTAAGAACAGGTTAACAAAGGAAGCTTTCTAGAGGTGACAATACCGGCTAAGAAGCTTCCCAGGCAAAGTATGGGGAAAGTTTACTCTAGAGGACTAAGGAGACCATAATGTCCAAAGACGCAGAGGCCTAAACCAGTGTGGTATGTGTAGCGAACCAAAATCAACTTAATACTGCTAGAATGCACGGTATGAGCCAGTGCGGGGCGGGGGGAGAAGCGGTACACATGTGGAGATGTTCATATAGTCACGGAAAGACTGCTACACATAGTGGGTCCCAATCCTCACTAATCCTCATATATCATGGTAGCTCCCTTCAAATACTAATTTCAAGGAACAAACCACCATCACCACCCAAGTAGTCTGGAATGACCAGCCATGCTGACATTAACCGCAGTATACTATATTAGGTAGGTAAGACAGAAATCAATAAAGGATTTAAGTAGAAGGGTGACATAGTAAGATTTGTGTTTGAGACTGTTTTCTCAAACAATCTAGGTGGGTGAAGGAGGGAGAAAAAGAAAAAAAGCTGGTAACAGGTAAGAGAACAGCTGTAAAAGTCTAGGTAAAGACTAAAAGGATCTGCCACAGTAGGAAGATATAAGCAAGGGGAGAAATTCCCGAAATATATATGAGCAACTGGTGACTCAGTAGAGCAAAAATATCTATACAGTAACACAACACTGCAAATTAATTAATAAATTTTAAAAGGAAGTGGCCTAAAGCAGAGGTCCCCAACTACCAGCCTGCAGTCTGTTAGGCACTAGACCACACAGCAGGGGGTGAGCAGCAGGCAAGTGAGCCAAGCTTCATCTGCCAGCCACCACTGCTCGCATTATAGCCTGAACCACTCACCCCACCACCCAACCCCTACCCCCCACCATCTATGGAAAAACTGTCTTCCATGAAACTGGTCCCTGATGCCAAAAATGTTGGCGACTACTGGCCTAAAAGGCATTTGCACCAAGCCAAAGAAAAAAGGAAAACAACCTATACAGGAGGCAGCTGATTAACCTCATTTTAAGTATGTTCAAGTCTGAGGTTATAGGTGGGCAGAGATATTTAGCTGGCAGACAGATGGTCCTGGAAATCAGGAGAGAAATATCCACTAGAAACATGGATTTGTAAAAGAGTGTAAAAAAATGAATGCCCATCAAAGGGACTTTTTTTAGCAGGCGAGAAAATCCCTCATGTGGCAAAACATCTCACCGAGTGTCGCCGCTGCAGCCAATCCAGCTGTGTAGGGGTCGGTCCCTGGGGGCGCAGCGCTGATGATGTACGGGTTGGGGACGAAGGCAGCGGGAGCTAAACCTGCTGAAAACACACCTGTCAGTAAAACAAACAACTGAAACAAACCTGCCAAACCCCTACACAGTCTGGCTAACCATTCCGTGGGGAGGAGAACAAAGAGAGGATACAATAGGTTGAGAGTAAAATGGACTTTCAGAAAGATAATACCTGTACTAAAGATTATGGTGACACCCATCTACTGTCTCTCTTTTTTAGCCTCTGCTAAAGATTACAATTAAAACTACTAATCAGTTTTAAATTCAGCACAATTTCTAAAAGACTAATGAAATTATAATAGGTTAAAATAAAGTGATTTAAAACAGTTTTTAATGGAATGGAGGGAAGGATTTACTTCCATTTAAACAATTCTCTAGTTCTCCTCAAAGAAAATGTATGCCTATTTATAAAGACTACTATCTGTAAGTACAAATTAAATCAGACCCAGGTAAAGGTTTTTATGTCTAGACTTAATACAGGTGACCCTTTAACAACACAGGGGTTAGGGGTGCCCACACCTACACAGCCAAAAATTCATGTGACACCTACATAGCCAAAAATTCATGTATAACTTTAAAATCAGCCCTCCATAACCACACTTCAGCATCAACGATTCAACCAAGGAATATGCTATAGAACATATTTATTGAAAAAAATTCATATGTAAGTGGACCTGCACAGCTTAAACCCATGTTGTTCAAGGGCCACCTGTATAACTAGGCTGGAACCAAGTGTTTTCTTCCACAGCATTTCACAATCTGTGACTGGTGATTTCCTATCTATTCAATCATATCATTTTAACCACCCCCCTTTATAAAATTTCTACTTGTATAGCACTGTTTCAAAGAGACCCCAAAAAAGCTGTGTGTGTGGGGGGGGGGGGGGAGGGGAGGCAGTGTCAGCAGTAAGACAAAAATATGTTCCATAAGATGAAAAATATGTTACTATCAAGACATTAACAACTGCAACAGGTACAGAGCAACTTTAAAAACCAGTGAGTATGATAAAACTTTTTAAATTTTTCAACACATGCTACTTGGAAAATAGGTTTACAGGTACTACTTGCCACCTAATAAGATGTGACATTGAGACATCCATAGTCTATACACTCCCAATAAGCACAAAACTGTTGTTATTTAAGTTCATTTAAACCTACCATCAGAGCTGATGCTAGTCACTACTGCAGGAAATATTTTAAATCCTGAAACAGCTGGCAGAGCAATAACTGGATACTAAGAAATCTTAGGAGTTAGGCCTAGAAAAACAAGAAGGTGGCTAAAGACAACTGGATGAGAGCTAGAGGCCGCTTACTCTGAGATCAACCCATACCAGCTGGGTTTCACAACAGCCACTGTCCTCAGATGGGACCAGCCCTACAAGGGCGCTTCTGGCTTAAGGACTTACCAATGTGGGGTTGATGCGCGGCTGCTAGCGCATACTGCTGCTGCTGAGCGGCTGTCAACTGCTGGACAGCGAGCGCATTGGGTCTTTGGAACAGCTGAGGAAAGAAAAGGGCATGATGAGGTTAGAGAACCAGTCACAGGAAGGAATTTTAAAGCCTCTCTGAATAAAAATTTCCATAAACTCTTGTTTAGACATGATGCTTGTAGCAAAAATGTTCTCATGCTCTACTCCATTCCCTTGGTATCTATGATGCTTCATAGTTCTGTTTCCCTTCTACTGCTCTGGCTCCATTTGTGAGCCCAGTTCCCATGTGCTGACTACTTACTTCACAGGTCATCTGTCCCCTGAACCATAAACATACATACAAATGCCCGAACAGCTGTTTCAGGTCTGAGGGCGCTGCCTGACCCAGAGCAAGCCAGAGACTAAACAAACGTACTACAAATTACTTACCTCACTGCACCAGCGCTGGTACCTCCCTTCAGTTCTTTTGAGAACTCCACAAACACTCTCAAGTAATTCTCACCTACTCACATTTTAGACAGGAAAATGGAAAGTTCTCATTTCATCCCTGGCTGTCTCCTCTCGGGAAAATACTGAATACCTCCCTCAACTAGTGGTTTACAAAAACGGGTAAACTGGACAATGTGCGCCTTTCAGGGGCTCCCGAGTTTCCTAGAATACCAATCCTTTTACATGTGAGAAATAAAACAATAGAAGTATAGCTGCTATTAACCAAACTTGGATTATGAGCTTAGTTTCCAAGGAAAGGAGTTCAAAGGTCTTGACAGTAAGAATATCCTAAGATTCTCTCTTATTACAAAGTCAATCACTCATTTTACAATTATTTTTGAATCAAAACATGATAGGCACTGTGCAAGGAACTAAGTTAACAACACTAAATAAAATGTTCATACAATTTAATATGAATAATACTGGTACAAAAAAAAGGGGATACCTGATTTTGGATTGCCCTGATATGCCTCCTTCCAAGGAGTTATATACTGAAGACTTCTTTATTTACTGAAATCAGACTGGGAGAATTTACTGATGGGACTTCCCCACAAAGGACCTTCAACCTACCTACTTTTTCTACAGGACTTTTCAGTGGTTAGGCTAACATCACTGGATGATATATAACAGATACCATGGATCTTGAACCACGGATGTCTTCATAAAGAAACCTGTTTTGGACAGTAGGTGATAATGTCATTCTGACAACTCAGCTTAATTACTGTCACAGTGGAACTTTGATTCAGTTGTGGTGAACTTGATTGTTATGATTTGGTTACTTCTGTGCCTCAAGTATAAAAACAGACTGATTTTAAATTTTTTTTAAAGGTGAATATTCTGAACATACTGACCAACTTCACCTGTTACCTCTATATATATTTATCTTTCTAAAAACCAGAGTAAAGTAAGTCTCTGCTTTCACAGTATGAATGTCAAAAGTAACCATGCAGTACAGGTTTCAAAAATGCTTTAGTTTTTTATTTTCAAAGGTTAAAGAAAAGAAAAACTTCATTATAATGCTGGTAAAAAAACAGCTCTACTTCATAGGCACTGATTAACTGTCAAGCATTCAAAAGAAATATAGGACTCTACTGGCAAATATATCAAAACAACTGTTCACTCCAGGAAGGGAGCCAACCAGTACTATTTGGTAACTACGACCTTGTGATCATCGCCAAGTTGGTCTGGTTTCACCTGAAGGATAGTACCTCACACTCCTCCTACCAACAGCTCTCCCCAAACCCCTCCCTGCAAGAGGAGCATCCAGGAGGCAAAAAACAAGTAAAATAGTAGAAAGTTGTTTAAAATTTTTTCCAAGACTATAAAAACACCTCCTAGTTCCACTAGGTATCTGCTATCTATTCAATGGGTCTCTGGAATTTTCCTACCCTAAAATCTTCTAAAATATCTAACATCTCAGACAATGCTCATGCTAGCCTCTTCCTTCTACCTTTCTTGGCCCTGCTGCAAATAAAATAACTCATTTCACTCAACAAATTTTTTTTTGAGCACTTATTAGCTAGGCTCTGTGACATGAAGCTAAGAGAATAAGGATACTGTGTTCAGAATATAACTCTTGAGGTTATCTTGACCTACTAACCAAAAACAGTACTTTAACACCATTCCATTATGACTTAACCTCACTTCATATGTTTTTAACATTTTTTAACATTTCATGTAACATTACATGCATGTACTATATCTGTAAATATACATATATATACACACAGTGTATGAATAAAAGTAATCACTCCACGTAACATTAGTTTGTGGTTCTCACTACTGTGTCACCACACTGAACACTGGGACTAATAATTTTAACTGGAAACATACAAGCCGTATAACTGCTCCCATATATCCCATGTTTGAGAGTTGATTAATATGTCCATGACTGTGACAGAGAAGGAATTATTTTGAGTGCATTCTACAGTAAACAATTAAACATAAGTAAACTATATATCAACAGCAGACAGATTTGATCATAGCATAAATCACAGCAATTCTGGCACATTCTCTCATGTAAACAGTCCAATATTAACTGGAAATATAGGTTATTAAAAACCAAAACTGGGTAACTGGCAAGTGATAGGTTCCAGAGGATCCTGAACAACGCATACAAATGCCATCTACTGGGCAAAGTGCTAAACTCTGTCCCTTTCTCACCTCAAAATAAAATGTACTGCCAGGCCTGCCTTCTTGTGAGTTTAAGGCAATATGCCCAGTGGAGAGCGGATAAGAGCACAGACTCTGGGGCCAGAAAACCTGGACTGGTATCTCAGCTCCACCGCTGACTCTGTGTGTGGGACACTGGGAAGGAAAATCACTTTGTGCTCACTCTCTTCCTCTCTCTAAAGATGGACAATAAAGAACTGTCTAACTCATAAGGTTGTTTGCTAACGATTAAAATCGATACACACAGAAGTCCTCTCTATGTGATACTATTTCTGATGAATGAGGAGAGCACCCCCATACACAGACACAGCCCTTCTGTGGGCCACCTCTTATAGTGCGTCGTGTAGCAAGGCAGTCCGGGAAGGGACAAAGAAAGCAGAAGGCAAGACGTGTGAGTCAGGTGGCGCTGACATACATACACTATCCTCTGTAAAACAGTAACCAGCGGGGAGCTTTCTGTAAGGCAGGGAGCCCAGCCTGGTGCTTCGTGACAACCTAGAGGGGTGGGGGGGGGGGGGGTGCTCAACAGGAAGAGGAGATATATATATATATATAAAATTATGACTGATTTGTGATGATATACGGCAGATACCACAACATTGTATAGTAAAAAAAAAAAAAGACAAATGCTAATAACATACACAATAAACTAACAAAAGGGATAAAAAGGATGAAAGCAGGAGTGGGAAGAAGAATAACAAGCGTGTATCTTTTTACATTGTTTTGATTTTTTGAACCATGTGAATGTTACTACCTACTCAAAAATTAAATTAAATGTTAAAAAGTATATAAAATAGACCAAAAAAAAAAAACAACTTCCGAGCAGTGTTAAAGTCCTGCTGAGGTTCATGAGCACCACCTGCTTTAGGTCACAAAGGGGAAAGAAAAACTTTTTTTGTTTTTGTTGTTGATAGTAATTTTAAAACATATACCATGCTGAAAAAACTACGAAATCTTCAGTTAAATCTGAAGCTGAGACAGCTCCACACAGTTTTATGTTTCTAGGACTAGGTCCAAAGCAAAGAGCGAGGAGCTAGAAACTGAAACAAAGATGTTTGCATAGCAGGGTTTTAAGATCTTCAGTAAGTCTCTGAGCTTCACAATGTCTTAATTTTCTTATCTATAAAAATGGCTGCCCTACCTGACAAGGCTATTGCCAGAATTCACGGAGAAAAGCCTTTTAAACACTAAGAGTATTACATCAATAGTGGGGCTATAAATTTTAAAGAAAAAATTATATTCTGGAGCTAGTCCTCAGTATATGAAATTTTTGAAAATTTGCTACTGTCTATAATTTGCTATATCCTCTAGATCAAAGTTCATTTTTGACCAGGTTATCTGAACAGTTGCAATAGTTAACATACAACTACAATGATTTTTAGTGCAACAGGTACATACAAACTATGCTGCCAAACTTAAAAAAAAAATTTCACATTTCTTTAGCAGATGAAGAATCTGATTTCAAAACAAATGACTTCTAAATAAGTGAGGAAAACAAAATACAGCCTTCCGTCAAGCAAATTATTTTTAGAGAAAAATCATATTCTAAAATTTCATCAAAGTCAAAGAACAATAAAGGTATGTTTCAAATGACCTAACTGCTAGCTAAAGTCAGCATTTCAACAGTGACTATACACATAATGCTGACAGAATAATCTTCCTCTCATTTATAAACTGAAAAGAAAGCCAAGAATTTTAAATACCTATATTAAAACTACACAAACTCAATTTCATAAGAATGACATTTAAATCACTACCACACATGAAAAAGCAATGCATGCCAACTTCCTCTGCCATCTGACTAAGGCTTTTTCAGAGAAGTGCTTCTTTGTTAAAAATTCGTGCTTAACAGATTAGTTTCAGTACATCAGTAGGCAATTTTGTAAGGCATGCCACATCATTAGGCTATTTTTACACTAACTGAACCCTAAGATAAAGAACATCAACAATTAACCAGATTAACCCATCTGATTATCAACTTAATCTTGGCTGTGGTTTCTGTTACACGACTGTAATATAGTGAAATATATTATATATATTATATATATATATTATATATATATATATAGTAAATATATTTTCTAAAATATATTTAGATGAACAGAGATAACTTCATGGCTATTTACTATGCAAGCATCATAACACAAAGCAGTATGAACACATTACATATGAACTGTTCACTGTGTTTTCCAGGATTAAAGAGAAGACAATGAGGAGAAAGTAAGGAAAGTGGTATCAATGAGCATTTCAAACCACCCTAAATTAAAGGTTCCTAACCCCAGACCCTTGTACCTGAGGCAGGTAAAATTACTATCATGAAATTTAGCAAGTCCTTCAATTATTATTATAGGCAACAAACCACATTAAATTTAGCCACACTTATGTGATTCAATCACAAATAGAAATCATGTATTTTCATGTTACTTTATAACTGCTAGACATCTCACAATCTTGTTTATGCTCACCATCATGGCCAGTACAACTACCTCTATCTCATGCATCATATGAAAAAGAAGCAAACACCCATCATTCAATTTGCTGTTAAATACTGTTATAGCTATTTTTATATAACTGGCTTCTTTTGTAATCATACTTACACCATGCATTTTAAGACAGTATTCTAAGAATTCAATCTGAGATCTTACCTAACTGCCAAGGGGTTCACGGCACCATAAAAGGAATCCCTGCTATAAATACATCTTAGGTTAAGATGATGGTTCACAGTGATTAGATAAGTAGTTTAGCTATCCAAAACCAAAGTATCCCTAAAGACAGTTAGTCTGTAATGAACTAAATGAAAAATACCTTCCCTGTATTTTCAGGATGCTCTATATTATGTATCTAAATACAGGCTGATGTTAATAGTCTTATGAAACCAACTTACTACCCCAAATGAAATTAAATAGGACACAAGGATTTATTTTGTCAATTATCAAACCAGATTCACTCATAAAATCATCAACATACCCTATCAATTATAGCAAATAACTCCAAACTTTAAAAAAAAAAAAGTTGATGCCCATTTAAGATAGCCATGATAAAAGAGCAAATGTACAGAAAAATACAAGCTACACTAGATATTTAGTTCAATCCTCACAATCATTAATATTGTCTGTACTCAGTCCTGGCTCTCAATGCCTGTGACCTGGACTCAGTAACCAAATGCATCTATTTCTATTTTCCTTTTATGTGTACCTTCTACTCTTACTAACCTATGATCACACCATTGTTATTTCCATCTCCATAACTCTGTTCTCCTAACTGCAGGAATATCCATTCCATCTCTCATTCAAGTTAGGTCTATACAAACTTGGTCCTCAACGAGCCTTCCCCTGGTCTGACAGGATTCTTGACCAACCAATTTAACATTTAGTCCCTCAAGCGTTCCGTAACTGTTTTATATACTGTAAGACAGTCTTATTAGGAACATTAGCGTTCATTATGACAAAACCTAAAGTCCCTACAAGGATACAACAGTCAATAGTTGGTACAACAGTCAATAGTTAACTAATATGGACAAAAGAATGTATAAAACTGCTTCTAAGCTAACTCTCTGCACAAAAAAACTAAATCATGATAATTAAGTCATCACTTCTTAAAATGCCTTGTTAATGCCTGTACGACAGCACAGCAAAGTTGGTAAGACTCGAGACACTATCTATGTAACCTCACAAGTCACTTTTTTTCAACCTCAACTACCATCCGGGGTGACTATTTTTATATTATCTATTGAACACATATGTTAATGTCTAATTTTAAGCTCTTAGTTTACTATTTTCTCCACTGAAGTTTTCATTCTTTTCCTGGTATAAATAAGTCTTGCAAAGCACAGCTCAAGATCCATCCATCTCTTCTGTAAGTCCTTCCTTGCTCAGGAAACAGTATGCTCTCCCTAGGATGCAGGCATAAATAGTCTCATCACTTGTCATCAAGTATTTCCTTACAGTATCTAAAAGACCAAATGAGCCACAATAACTAAACTGAGAACCATGGGACTGGGGGAAGTCTGTTCCATTCATGAGAGAGACACCTGACTACAGGTAACAATAAAAAATAAGAACAGAAGGTTATAATCTGCAATCCACAGATCTGTGATCTCCCTCAAGTTACGTACAAAATTGAGTCTCAAAAGAACCATGTATGTTTTTTTGATGAGGACTATGGCTTTTAACCAGATGGCAAAAGAGGGCTGTGACACTAAAAGGCTAAATATTGATTCAGGAAATAAATGTCCTGACTATTAAAAAGGTACCCTTATTTGTCTATGATAAACAATCTAGTGGGCTAGACCTAAAGGACTCACATATTAGAATACATGCAAGACCTCAAAGAGTGGCCTCCAGACCTCTCCCAAGGCTAGCTTTCAATCTTAGTTTGGTGAAGTATATTAAATACAGGGGATGTTCTGAGATAATGTAACAGGGGTGTGGAAAAGGTTCCCTGAAAACTTGGTCCATCAAAGCAAAAGCAGAGGACACAGAGAGATCAAGACCCTATCTTACCCTCTAGGTGATTACAATCTAGCAGAGGACCATCAGACAAGGAGACACCATGACTCTTTCTTAGAGGAAGCACAAGGCACTACAGAGACAGAAATGACTACTTTTTGATTTAGAGATCAAGAAAGGTAACCAAAAAAAAAAAAAAAACCAGGGGGGGGAATATAGTGCTGGACGTTGAAGAATGAGAATTATTTTAATTATTAGAAATGGAAAGAGGAATAAAATCTAATGAAAAGCAAAAGGGTAGAAAGGGATTAGAAGGATAAAGTATGGGAACAAACACCAATTTCCTGTAGAGAAAGGGTTCTTCCATCTTAATAACTACTGGGTTTTATGCAGCAGCCTTTGGGAAGTTAAGGGTCCTGAAGGGTCTTGGGTCAATGATTTCCAGGCATGCTATCAATACACCCAGTATGAGAATGTGTACAGCCATCTACTCAAAATAGCAAGAATTATGAGCCCATGGGACAAAATAACAGTAATCACATCCTATGACGATGCTGTAACTGGGTAACAATGACCCTGTATTGCAGCAACCAAGACATGCATGGGAAGTCGGAATTCAACAACAGCTTAACTTGCAAAATAATGGCGTTCGCGTCCAAAAACTGCTGAAATGTGATCCGTGGTGAAGGCACTCCAGGTTTTATAAATCTGAGCAGGCGGTGTCTTTGATGTAATTGTGTGGACTATTTGTGGGCATGCAAAAGTGTATTTCTGTTCAAGTTCTAATAATTATCCAGCCTCCTCAAAAACTGGTAGAACTATTCTGAAATCTAAGTTCAGTAAATCAAAAGTGAATCCCAGCTTTGATTACGAGATAACAATTAAATGACAGAGAATCAGACTGTCATTCATAAGAGGTTGAAGACAAACACTTCTTAAATAACAAGCAGAGTCAGACTGGGTTAGATTGGGAATGGAAGCTAAGAACCAAAAATGGCTGCAAATCTAAGGGTTGCCAGGGGAAGCTCAATGAGACAATAAAAGACAGAACTTGATTAGAAACTGCCTACACTTAACATACCTCAATTTTGATAGAGAAATTACTACACTAATATTCTAAACTGGACAAGCTGAAGTCTACACAGTAATAGCGTGTCTCTATGTTTGCTGATGTGCCACAAGATATCTTTAAGTCAAATATTTCCTCAGCATCTGAAGTAATTTCTGACTTCACTCAACACTGCTATTTTGAGAATTCATTGTGAAAAAAATGCAAATAAATAAATAAGACAAAAAGCACAGAAAGTCAAATTTCCATGGAAAGGTGAGCATATCTATTGGGAACTACAGGGAGAACAGTGTACACTGTTGGTTCAAACTCTTAGAAAAGGATTTTGTTAATTACACCTAGTATATCCAACTGATAGGAACAGAGTGCGTGCATATCACATCATCCCTTAAAGGGGTTTGTCTCTGTAAACTTCACATGGTTAACTGTATTATCCAGCTATCTATCAAGAAAAATTCACTTAAAATCAGCCATTTATGACAACTAAAGGGACAGTGTGGTACAATTTGATCTACAAAGGCCATAAGTCAACTTTCCCCATAGATACATAATTTCTAAACTACAAAATGAGATTTTAACTTTTCACACCTAGAAATGTATATGTATGCGCCAGACTAAAATTAAGGAGCATCAGAAACTGATGGCCCATCAAACTGCTTGAGGCCACAAAGAAGAACATGTGGAACTTAACATGATTAGGAAGTTACCTGCCCCCTTTCCATTAATTTGGCTAATTTTCCTTAAAAAAAGAAAAAAATTAAAAAGAAGAATCTGTAAGCTCTAGAGAGAGCCATACAGACCCTTCAAAACCAGAGGCACACATAAAATATACACCAAAGACTTATAAATAAAAGAAGAGCCAAATAGTTTCACTGCAGATTTTGAGTGATTTGTGTTTTTCCCCAATCACATTCTAACTCTTTTGCAAGGTATGACATATGTCTGTTATCTGTAGTAACTCACTTAATTAAAAGACAAGACTAATCAGACATCTGGTACTGAACTCCTGACAGTGGCAGACAACAGAGTTTACTATTTAAAAAACAAAAACCAACAGCATTATAATCACATTAATCTTCAATGAGATTAACATTCAAGAGGATTGTGTTACAGGAGGTAACACCACCACAGCCCCTCCCCAGGCCCTGATAAAAGAGAGAAGCCAAAGGAATTATACACAGCAGGGTGGTCTCTTGCCAACAAACCTCAGCATGGGAATCATGCTGGAAGGGAAGATGCAAAGGCTTTATAATTTACACTGTTGGGTAAATAAGGACTGGCCATCAAAAGCCTAAAATGTTGCCACCCTCCTCCCATCCCCCCATTCTCAGTTACTTAAATAATGTTTCTGCCTGGAGGGAGAGCAGAGAGAGGGACAGAGACACACACAGTACCTGTTGTTGAGAATTGTAGTCAAAAAGTCCCACAGTTGCTGCTGCTGAGTCCACAGGTACCTGCGTGCCTGAATAATCAAACTGAAGAGGCTCCATGCCCACATGTTCCATGGGGTCCAAGGGGACACTCTGGGACTCCATGTTGGAGAAATCCTCCACAGGCTTGGCACCATTGGTGCTGGTCAGCTGGGCTAAACCCTCAGAACCATTCTGGTTTGGACCCAGAAGATCCACTTCATTAGCAGAGTTCTGGCAATTACCAGGGGTACGGCTAAACAGAGAAAGTAAAGGGCATTAAACCTTATTTTAAGTGGGGAGGGACACCACACCAACCTAAGTGCAAGGACAATGTCCTTGACACAGCTTATTACCAACAGCATTTAAGCTATTTTCAAAAAATGACCAGAGACCCTTTATGGCGCTTACATGTCACGTCCTATAAAACGACTCTTCTGTTGCTTGCCTTCCCACCACAACCCACCCCTTAAATTTACATTAACTGCTATTAATTCACCATCTCTTTTACCAAGGGGCCCAGATGTGAGGAACACTGGATAGACTTGGGGGGGGGGGTCACTCTGTGGTATTCATGAAAGCAGGGATCCCAAAATACAGGTAGTAAAACATGCCCCCCAAAAGCAACATCCTACTCTTTAAACAGTCAATAGACAAAGTAGTTTCCAGGGAAAGTTCCACATGGGAGAATAATTCTATTCAAAAACAATTTTTAATTGGCGAAAAATTTTTGTTTGTATTTCCTAGGTACCACTGGCCAACGATAAAACTGACTCTCCTTTTCTTTTCAAAGAAACCAGAATCAAACCATTACAAAACAGTACAAAGTAAATTCACTTTTTAGGATAAGCTCCTGCTAAGGAGTCAACTCTAAGAATTAAAAGAATTAAAAGTAACATAAGGATGTAATTTATCATCTGAACCAGGACACTCCTAAGAGCAAAAAAGGGCAGTATTAATATCTTGGGACAGAGGTATAAACAAATACTGTCCTGGGCAATCCAGGACACATGATCGATCACCCTATGCAAAAAGACAGCAGAACTATCTAATTCCAGTTCAGATTAATATTGAATAATATTATATTCTCGTCAGGAAAATATAGCCTGTGACTACATTCTTAGCCTAAAAGAAATCCTATAGCTGGTACAAATTAAAGCTCTTGTAGTTCCCTAACACACACACACCCCCTACTACTACCATCTGCCCTGGAGTCAAACACCACAAAACAATGCCACAAGCTGCTTGAGATTCAGGGTGGAGTGGACACCCAAACTCATCTGAAAGACCTGAGGTTAAGTGTTTATTACTCTGTGACTCAAATTTCTTACAAAGACTAATTCTTTACATCCATGAGATGCAAACATTAGTTTAGGAAGACTAAACAAATTAAACACTGTTCTAAAAGGAATGACCCCCCCACACACACACACAATATTTTAATTTTGGCTTTGCAGATTATTAGGATAAGGGATGTTGTGTGTGTGTGTGTGTGTGTGTATTTAGACACACATTAGCTTTACACTAAAATTATTAAAAATTAAACTCTCTACTGTACATCAGTGACTGAGGATAAAAATCCTAGGTCAAAATTTTAAAAAAATTTTAAATTCACATATACCATCATGTAACAAAGGTTTAGTTACAAAAATGAAGAATACTTGCCAAATGTGGAAGACAAACATGGTATCATTAATACTGTGCATATTAAAATTACAGGGTAAAACCTGCAAATCAATTATGACCAGAGATGGAATGAGAGGCCTCCATGGAAGGAATATCATTAAGAACAAGTCACTTGAGCTGTATCTCTGGTTCTTCAAAACGAAGAAAACAATACCTGCCTTTCTCAAAGGGAGCTTATGAGTCTCAAGTGAAATAATACTTAACTCATCAACTATTTTTCACTCTTCCTTAATATGCCACAGTAATATGACACACTTCCGTTAGTAAACATGATTTCTCCCAAGATAATGATTTGAGAGAAATCCCAAGGTGCTCATCCCAGGTGATTTTGAAATTTGAGAATCAATGAACTGATCTTTATGAAATCATTCTGCAAATCACAGAGCTCCATACAAATGGAAAGTCTATTGTTTTGGCAAAACATCAGGTATGGGCAGATCTGAGAAAGTTTCACCTTAACAGTTCATATATTTTTTGTGTTATGGCCTACACTAGTCCCAGTTCTTTAAAAAGACACGTAGGGAGGGAAAAATAAAACTAAAATCAAAATAAAACTGAATCAAAACAAAAACCCATAGCCCCCACTCAAAAACCAGAAGTGTAAAACATACAAACCTAAAATCTTTGACGTCTGTGTCAATCCCATTCTGCACTGGTAAACCATTGGTCTTGTCCATCACATCACCCTCCTCCTTCAAATCTCCTAGCTTATCTCCATCAAACGTACCCTTGTTCTTCTTTTCACCTTTGTCGTTTTCATCACTGTCTGCATCCCTTGGGCCCTGTTTAAAAAATAGCTTCAGCTTCACTAATCATCATTAACTAATAATAGCGGGCAACCACTGTGGACACCAGACTACACTAGATGCTAATTACAACAGGATAGTGTCCATGACCTTTCAAGACATTACAATCTAATTAACAGACAACACAGAGGCAGGAACACTGCAGAAAGTCTTGCCAAATGGGGGAGACAGACAGACATTTATGTTACAGAGTTTAGGACAGTCTTATCATGCCCAGTGTCCCACCACCCCACTTTTTTTCCTTTCTACCCAAAGCCCAACCACAACTTTGTATTTCTTAGTTCCATTTCTCTAATATCTAACTCTCTAGAATAGCATGGCTCCTAATAATCCCCAGGAATTATAGCTAATATTATACTTGGAAAATATTAAGCCTACAAAATGAATTTCCTACTTCCATTGCCTATGTGAACTCCTCTCTTACTTCTGAATATTGAGCTAAGTGTGGTCTTAACATCATTCCAATTCAACTACTCTATACACTTCATGTTGGGATATATGCCCTGCCAATTTGAACCACCACCACCCCAATTCCACCCAATGTCTCACCGCTTACTGAAACAATATATCAGTAATCATCCTTAACTTGAATTTTTAATCCTTCAAAACATGTTAAATCTAACTAAATTTCTTTAACAAAGAGTACTCTAAGTGTTTACCGTTGTCATCCACTCCGTGTCCCATACATACTAAGGATTATATGGGAGCATGTTAAGGCGAATCATTGATACAACCGAGTTTATCTCTGAAGTACTTCAAACTACAAAGACTAAAAGACTGGACCTAAAAGGACTGATGCGGTGCCAAGCACACAGATGTTCTGTTTTTTAAAGAAATTAAGTCTGTCTCCTCTTACCAACAATCTAAGTTAAGACATGGATTTTCAAAGCAAATGTGTCCTGATTTTCAGAATGAAAAGAAGGTTTGGTATAGTGACTTGACATGGTATATAGCAAGCTTTGCAAAACCTTACCCAAGGGTTAAATAATTTTTGCTTTTGTAAAACTAGAGAGAGGTAATCTTGCCTATTTCCATCACTGACTTCTAATTTAAGAAAGACACAAACAGACCTAGACCAAAAGAAAGCTCCTGGTAAAAAGTAAGATCCAATCAAAAGATGATGAAACTCCTGCTCAGCAATTCCAGTCACCACAACCAAATTTCAATGGGGAGGGTGGGAACCACAAATGGAAGATAAAGCAGCAGACACAGTTGCAAATGGGTAGGCCTGCAAATGCAAAATAAAAAGATGTTCTCAAAGTAGTTCTTAGCCACCCTGACACAGAAAGACCAGACACAGGAACCCTGACAATCTTTTAGACCTTTCAACAACCAATTCAAAGCCCATTTTGCTTTTAAAACCATCCTCTGCTCAAAAGTAACACAGAAAGACTTCATGGCTAATACAAATTAAGGAACATATACCAGAAAGAATTTAGAAAGGATATACCACTTAGTTTCATGTAGCAGCAAGATGGTAAGCTATAGTTTTGGCAGCAAATGAGATGTAACTTTCACATCTTCAAAGTATAACACTGATACTGGTTCAAAGAGTAAATGAGAGCCAATTAAGCATGACACTGAGATCCCAAGCCAAAGTATGACAGGATTCTAAAGACAGAAAGAGCTTTCAAAATGTCCAGAAATAAAAGCTCCCTCTTCCTGCAAAGGTAAAACTGACGGAAGCTATGTAGTAATTTTCATGTCCCCAGCACTGAATACACTGCAGGACAGAAGTTCAAAAAGTAAGATAAAACAAACAAACAAAAAAGTCCTGCAAAACTGAACTGCTAAAATAAGAAGGATCCTCCCATTCTATTTATCATCAGGTAAGAGTCCAACATGTAGTAATAAACAAGTCCACCTGAATTAGATACCAGTAACATCAATAATTTTTAAAAGTATTTTAAGATCATCCCACCAACACACTTAAATAATCTTCCACAAATCTACAAATCAAGTCACTGGCTCAGGAGCGGCAGGCAGTTCAGCTCCAATTTCTCACAAGGAGTTCAAACAGTCTACAGGAAAACGAATGGGAAGGAAATGCAATAAAGCAGCAGTAGGAAGTTTCACCAAGCAAATAATCTGGGTACAGAAGAGGCTCACTCACCAAATCAACATTTTCATGATCTTTCCTCAGTGACCCTTCACAAGGGCTTGCTGAGAAGCTGCTCCCCCTGTAAGCCAACTGCCCTGACCTGAACACTTAGTCACTGATACTTACTTTCTCAATTATACTGCCAAGGGCTAGGTTTTCAAAGATGTCCCTGGAATGGGCTGGTTTTTGTCCATGCTATACAGTCTATTTACATAATAGTTACCTAGTTTTCTACTCCAACTAGGCTATTAATGCCTCAGCAAAACATAGAACAGGTAGCATGACTTCCATACCTGATTTGGACGGGTTATTGGGGATATTTCCATTAGGCAGAAAGTCATGAAGATGAACATTTATGACGTGTTAACTTTTCTGTACAGGGGTCATAAAAAGTTTTAACAAATTCAGTAAATCAACAAAAGCACTAAATTAAAACAGTTGACATGAAGTTTGATTTATGAATGACACCAAGAGCACAAGTGGGAAGCTATCCTGTCAAAGTCTGCTATTAAAAGAGAATATAGAATACAGAGTTGGGGATCATAAAAAAGGCCTCTTAGAAATCTGAGGACCCATGAGATCAAAAACACTCTGGAGGGAACCATGAGTAGAATAACAGAGACAGAAGATAGGATAAGTGAGTTAGAAGATAAAATGGTAGAAATCTGAGGACCCTAGTGAGAGAGAATAAGGGTATATTTGGGCTGCTCTGTTTTATGGAGTTTTAAAGTTTTTTTTAATGCTTAAAGTATTCTTTTAGGAAAATACTAACCCAGATTGCACAGAACCTACAGTCTATCTCAACTGCTAACACTTACTGGACTTTGGACAGGTCATTAAACCCCAGTCTGAGTTGTCTTTATCTATAAAACAGGGATCATTTTGTTTAAAACAGAGTAGCTGTAAACATCAATGAAATGATGCATATGTAAAAGCGTTATTATAAAGTAAAAAACACTGTATACAAGTATGACACTAGTGAAAACTATGCACTGGGAGAATATTTCTTATGTAACACTGTGATATTAACATTAAAAATGAAGGCTCCCATTCAGTGGTTTAACTCAAATAAAAGTGTAGAGCCAATCTGGTCCTCCCAGATACACTGTCCTTTTCACAATGCAGTAGCTCTACGGTTGGCAACAAACACCACAATCTTTTAAAAATTTGCAAGTGACTGGGCTTTCTCCCAGAGATTCTAATTTAACTGGTCTGCAGAAGCTCCCACAAGCCTAAGTTTCTCCTTCAATAAGTACTCACAGTTGAGAACCACTATGTGTATGTGTGTTAAGTCACTTCAGTTGTGGCCGACTCTTTGCGACCTTATGGACTGTAGCCCGCCAGGCTCCTCTGGCGGATTCTACAGGGGTTCTACAGGCAAGAATACTGGAGTGGGTTGCCATGCCCTCCTCCAGGGGATCTTCCCCACCCAGGAATCCAACCCAAGTCTCTTATGTCTCCTGCACTGGCAAGCGGGTTCTTTACCACCAGCGCCACCTGGGTAGCCCAAGAACCACTAAAATGAAGCCCAAATAAGCATCCTAAAGACAGGAGTTACGGTTTTCTTTTCTGTTACTTATTACGTGCAAATTAATACTAAAAAGCCTATTAACTAAATGAAATAAAAAACAAAGATGGATTAATAGCATCCTCCTATTCTAGGCTCTCTTTAGATGAATTTCAATTCAAAACTGTAACCCAAATATAGCCCTCAGAGAGTGCTCAAAATGCAAGAAGCCAAGCCCACTCAAAATCCCTAGAGTGGGGCCAAGGAGTGTTCTTAAGAGATCAGATCACAGATACATACATTAGAATATGTTCTGTTGCCTCATACCAAAGAACTGAGAGAAGAGCAGAAAACTATGTACTACGCAGACCAGAGTCATTCAGTCAAGCTCACCTTTCTCAAAAGTTTCATCTTTCTCAAAAGGGGAATGAGTATATCAGGGAATGTTAATTCGGCATCAAGTCAGAGAAATAAGAACTTAATTTTTCCTGTTACTGCAGAGATTTTACCTCAAAGCTCCATGTGGCAGAAGTCACATTCAATGAGATTAGTAATTTTTCTTTTTTCTAAAAGGACTATTTGTATATTTGCTTGATAAACCAGTCCAAAAACCATAATAACTAAAATAGTGGTTTCCCTGTGTACACTTCTCAACTTTTCACAAAATGCCACCCAAAACCAAAATGTCAACTTTCCTTGAAGTTCAGCAGTTTTAGCTTCACTAGTGATAAAGAAATTTCAAATAACTAAAAAAATGAGTAAAAGCTTGAAATTACTAGTCATGAATTACTTTTAAATTAATGTACTAAATATGATACTATTGTGAGAAACTAAAAAACAGGCCAGTGGAGCATATACTATAGCTAAAAAATGTGAAACTAGAACACTTATGAATTCAGTTCCCACCACTTCCCTTCTAAACCTCATTCTCCTCATTGATAAACTTTCACAGGGACAACATCTACTTCAAAGGGCTGTTTCAGGTATTAAACAAGGCAATTTATGACTGTGCAATTCCTTTTAAAAGATTCTTAAAAATATTTTATCCAATTTTGCCCACTACCTTTCTCAGACACAAACAGTCTCACTCACCTCCACTACCCCTAAAGCTTCAAACTTGCTTGATACCTTATATTTCCCCCCGGAAAGACTATGGCTTTCATCATTAACCCCTCTGTCCCAGTAACTTTTCTGAAATATCTGTACACAATCAAGCCACCAACTATTGTGTGTGTGTGTGTGGTCAGTTGCTCAGTCAACTCTGACTCTTCACAACCCTAGGGACTGCAGCCCATCAGTCTCCTCTGTCCATGGGATTTCCCAGGTAAGAATACTGGAGTGGGTTGCCATTTCCTCCTCCAAGAGATCTTCCCAACCCAGGGATCAAACCGGTGTCTCCTGTGTTGGCAGGCAGATTCTCTAATGTTAAGCCACCAGAGAAGCTCCACCACCTATTATTACATTTCATCAAATCTGAGGCGCCATCAATGTATAAGACATACCATCATCTTATGTGCTGCTAAAAAGTAAACACTGGCAATTTAAACATATCCAATTTCAAAATGAACAGAAGCTGGGAGGTATGCATTTTAGAAACAGTGGACCATGGAATATACCATGCACTGTGTATATGATCACCCAATTCCTGGTGTGCAAAAAGATAAGAAAAGTGTTCCCCTCTGTTGTACTACCACCAGATCCAGCAGGAAAAAGAGATGAAAACCATAAAAGGTTTTCTGAAAGTTGCATGGCTTTTTTTTTAAACTTTTTATTTAGTCAGTGTCTAAAACCTTGACATTGCAAAGCAGAGTACAAAGATTTCTTGTTCAAGGGAAGCTCAAGTCTGAAGGGGCTCCATTCTGATATAAAAGTTTCTGAATTGAAATCTTCCAATACAACTATATTATCAGTATTTATGACACTTTAATTGTATATAAATCATCTGTGGGTCATATCAAACTGCAGACTTTGATTCAACAGTCTGGAGTTGAATCTGAGAGCTGTCAGTTCTAATAAGCTACCAGATGCCGATACTGGACAAGAACTACGTGGCCCAAGATTTTATAAGACTTACAAAGTATTTTCATATATTATATACTACATAACCATATGACTTTCTGCAAATGAAGAAATCAAAATCCAGTTAAGACTCAAGTCCCTGCATTACATTACACGAAGTTTTTAAACAAAATCTACTGAAACAACACTGACTGCCTGAAACAAATACACTGGAAACTAGAAAAGCAAGTTATCAAGTTTTGTAACCTAAGTGAATTGCTATGAGGTGCATGCAACCTCCAGGTCAGAAAGCAGCCAGTTTCTACAAACAAGCAGAAAGGTCTTCCCAATATATTTTTTTTTCTAAAAATTTTTTCACCCAATGGCCTAAGAACATAGTAAATACATATGACTTTATAACCATCCAAAACCATGCTTTGTTTTATTTTGGGGTGTTTGAGTGGGCAGGTAAGGGAGATGTCTTTATCCAGGAATAAAGGAAATAAATCAAATTTTAAAACCTGACTCTGACTTAACTGGTATTCTGAGTTTTCCTATTATTCTAAAAACTGCTACCCTGAAGTTTGTGATTCATACCTGAAATACTACCAAAAATTTTCAGTGGGTGCTGAGAACAAAACACTGCTGTCGGATTCTTATCATCGGCCTGCAAGCACTCTTATCACAAAAGCCAAAACGACTGAGTGCATTTTTACATTCGAAATGAACTTAAGAAAGGCTCAGGAAAGCTAGACAGGGTTAAATACCTTCATTCAAGCTTTAACCATAAAAACAACTTTACTGAAAATGGAAAACCAATGTAATTACTTTAGTTCTAAACCCCTTTAACTGAACAGTTCATCAGAGTCTGGCTTATCTGTTGTCAATTATCTGAGAATAGCCCCTTAGTACTTGATTTGAGGTGTACATTCATTATGCCATTAGGGATGCTGTTTTTAAAAGCTCTTGGGGGTTTAAAATAGGGCATCTCTGAGGCTAACCAGAAGAAATGCTGGCATGACCACCTAAAAAGAAAAACATCTGAATGCTCTAATCCATAAACCACCAATGATTGCTCTTTAGAACAACTATCTACTGAAAGCAGGTATTCTGTCTTCTTTGGTCTCTGAACTCAGCGCTCTAAAAGACAAAATAGATTTTTTTCTTAAAAATAAAAAAAAGGCTCACCTCTTCCCAGAAGATGTATACATACCATGACAATCAAAAAGTGATTCAGGTTTCCATAACCAGAGCTTGTGGTCAAATGTCACCTTAACCAACAGGCAGACAGCAAAACCAAGAGAAGCACAAGATCAGCAGGAAACAACCAAAAAACTGATAAAGCAGGTCACTGATCCCAGGTCTCCATCCACCATAAGATGAGACGCGCCAAAGTGATGGACCGACGTCACCGGTCAGTCTTCCTGTATCACCGTTTAGGTGCAACTCAAGTCAAAATACAGGATAACGTTTCATTACACACAACCTTCCTTCTGAGAAACTGGGATACAGATTTGGAGAATTTTCATTTATCTTTACGCAAACTTCAGAAAACTCAGTGAAACAGATGCTTTTTAGATAATTCAATTTTCTGACCTCTATGCTGAGGTCTTAACTTACCCTGGTAACAATACTACAAAAGAGCTAGAAATCACCAATCTCTCAAGACAATAAGGACAGAAGCCACCTTTACAAAATCAAATAAAGATATGGAATAGAAAAGACACAGCTCCATCACAGATTAACTAATGAAATAATTGTTTAAAAAGGAAAAAAATAATAAATCGGCCCCAGTGTTTTATCTTTCTCCTACGTCTAATTATTTTTCTGCTTCCTACAAACTTCATGGCTTCCCTCATAGCTCGGTTGGTAAAGAATTCACCTGCAGTGCAGGAGACCCTGGTTCGATTCCTGGGTCAGGAAGATCCTCTGGAGAAGGGATAGGCTACCCACTCCAGTATTCTTGGGCTTCCCTTGTGGTTCAGCTGGTAAAGAGTCCGCCTGCAATGCGGGAGACCTGGGTTCAATCCCTGGATTAAGAAGATCCCCTGGAGAAGGGAAAAGCTACCCACTCCAGTATTCCGGCCTGGAGAACTCCATAGGCTGTACAGTCCATGGGGTCACGAAGAGCTGAGGACGACTGAGTGACTTTCACTTTCACAGACTTCACAGTAACCCAAGCACATGTCTGGTGGCTAATGCCCAAGACTTAGAAGCTTGTCACACATGACAGAGAATTCATGGCAAGAATCTCAGAGGTTCCAGTTCACCACAGTAATGACTTAGCTATGACTTTTCTCCTATAGTAAATAACTAAAAGTTATAGGCAGAAGTTGTGCTTCCCTGACAGCTCAGTGGTAAAGAATCCACCTGCCAATGCAGGAGACTTGCAGGAGACTTGCAGGAGATGTGGGTTCAATCCCTGGGTCAGAAAGACCCCCCTGGAGAAGAAAATGGCAACCCACGCCAGTATTCTTGTCTGGAAAATCCCATGGACAGAGAAGCCTGGAGGGCTACAGTCCATGGGGTTGAAGGAGAGTCAGATACAACTTACCAACTAAACCACAACACAGGCAGAAGTTAGAAGGCAGCACTTCCTCTGAGCAAAGTACACTCAAGATGAGCAAAGTGTGAGGTAAGAAAAAGAGGTGAGCTGGGGATAAGTTGAAAGAAGAGAAGTAACACCATTCTTCCCATGAGACAACATGGAAATGATCATTCTGCCTGATCCCATTACTCACATGCAAAGGGTAGATCTTGTTCTTCCCAAAAAGCCTCTTGGGAAGGTTCAAATACAAGCAGTATTTTCCAGTCTGACCTATGAGCCACTGAACCTATGTCTCTGCAGCGTCAAAAGACCCAGAAGTTAATCAGGTCAACTTTGGAACAGCTAGTATGCAGGAATCAAGACAAAAGCCCCAGTTGGATCCCTTTCTCTTCCTAAATGTTATAAAAATGAATGATCCTGTTCTGCCTTAATTCCTCAAACCAAACTTCTAGGTGTAGAGCTGGGAGAAATCCAAACCAGCCTCTTAAATAAGCTCATTTCACTCCCCCTGCCCCACTCTTTTTTTTTTTGGTAGAATCAAAAGCTCCAGCCATATGTCAAGTGTCAATGTCCACTGAAGCATTACCTTTGACATGAGTAGAATAAAGCTAACTCCAGGTAGATTCTGGTTACCTTGGATGCCACCTGTTATGTTCCTGACAACCAAGTCAACAATCATTTAGTGTCCACTAACATATTAAAGAACTGAACTTGACCCTTGAGCAAGCTGCACCAAACATGTACTGCTATTGACACTAAATTATTTTCAAGTGGAACTGGGAAAATAGAACCAAGCCTCAGATATCTAGCAACAGATGTCTAATGATAAAAATACTAACAATAAATGGTATTTAGATAATAGAATGTAAGACAGTTATAAAGGCAGAATTATTAATATGATTTGAGGGAAAGAAGGTCTCTTAAAATGACTGCCAACAGAAGTACTAGCCCAAAAAGACTTCAGGGAGACAGTGCTTTGAAAAGGTACAAAACAAGCTGAGTCAAGAGAAAAGTAAGGAAGATAAGAGTTAGGGTGCCTTTTGTGATCTTCCTAGCTATGACTTGGAATATAAAACCAGTCCAAGAACACAAAATGAGGAAGAATCAAACAGAAATGCATCTTAAGACTTTTAGATCTATAAAGTCAATAGTATAAGAAAGAACTAGTCTTCAAAAAGGCTATCAAAGATGCTTGAGGAAGACTACTTAAGACTTAAAAAGGGAAGAGGCTACAGAGATGCTGCTTTGGCTAGAATTCAGCATCAGAGAAGTCAATGGTGATGAATCTGAAAAAATTTGAAACAGTATTAACAGAACTTCTGATTTCCTGATAGACTGGGTATAAGAAGCGAAGTTATTCAAAGAGGGCCAAAGATCATTCCATAATTAAAGCTTAGCTAGCAAAAACAAGAATGAACCCACGTTATCTGATCCGTTTTAAGGATCCTCAGGTATTGGCAAATCACTGCTCTCAGACCTATTCCCTACTGACATCCACCTTCAACTTTGTGTTAATCCCTTCTCTTTTGTGTGTTTTCTAGAGGACCGATGAACTGAGACCTAGATTTCAGTTCTTACCTCACATTACTATAAATGAGTCCCAAAAAAACATCATTTCTCTACTTTTAAAAAGTTTAGTTATATCTCCTGCTGTGTTTGCTGACATCTAATTGCAATAAAAGTGTTCTTAAAAACTCTGCAATTAGTGCTGTGAATATCTAAGGAAACTAAACAGGCACGTTTTTCTTTAGAGGGAAGGGGAAAGAGAGAGAGAGATAGGAACAAGTTCCTCAAGCCAACTTACAAATCCTCCTTTTCTTAGACAGGAATCGCCCGGGGATGAGCTCAATACATACTCCACCATGCTAACGCCTAGTCCCCCACTCTCCGACCGTGGGGACAGTACAGAATTGACCTCACTGTTCACATGGAAACTCTGACCAGGTCTTCTCTGCACCATGATTGGCTGGGAAACTGAATGATCTACAAAAAAGATACACAAGCATGATACAGTGCAGCCAGAGGCTCAAACAAATTACGAGCGATGTCTCATGGATAAACCAATGACTGGGAATCAGGAAACCTGTCATGGTCAATTGAGCCAAAATGTCCTACTGTGTTTTCCCTAAGTATAATGTTCTACATAAGCTAATGAAACAGAACACACCCTTCATATATCCAGTTCAGCAATACAGTAGTTCACATAACTGGTTTATCTAGCTAAGTGGACAAATTAATGTTTACCCCTTTCAAGTAGCAGAATTCCTTTTTAATGTATTTTATTGGTAATTTCACTAAAAGGAAATGTGATTTTACTGCCCTTTTTAAAATAACAACATAATCTGATCTTTTCTGATGACCACTGTCATCTGAGGTTCCATTCTTACATTGCGCTGTAACACAGAACATTGGCTTTTGAATGTTCTGACTCCTTCCTCCCCATCATCTGTCATTTCTTTCTGCTGTCAGTGTGGCTGCCTCTACAAGTTCTCCCCGTCTCTCTCTTCAGGGGAAGTCAGTCAGAAATGCATCCATGCCCAGTGACTTATTTGGCCCCAACCACATTTTTAGATAGATCCCCCATACACAGTACACAGGGGCAACGGGAGGAAAAAGAAACATGAACTTCAAATGGCAGGCATGGATTTTCTAATTCCAAGTATGCTGACAGCAGTACAGAACAAGAAGTTATAGCTGAAATTACAGTCATTTCAACTAAGACCATTCCCCTGTGGCTAGCACTTCAGCAAAAATATTGAAGATTTGATTTTGCATTAATTATGTTTTAATAAATTACATCATATAAGCTCCTTCATGGCAATTATACTACAGGACAGGACACTGCTTGACATGCTTATGTCACTGATGTAAAATTCATGACTTGCCAATTGCTGAGGAAAGGAGCTCTAAGACAGGCATAAATCACAGTACAGATGCTAGATCTAGATTACCTGATGTTCCCCAGGCACTGTCTCGCCATTGATCACCCAGGAATATTCCTTTTGGTCCATCTTTGCTGGATTCATCTGTTTCCCAAAACTTTTTACCTGGCAAGAGCTGCTGCAAATTAAAAATAATAGATGCTTTTAAAGAATTCATAAAGGATGAAAGTACAGCAGTCAACACTTTCTTTTAGACAAGGGTACTGAAGATGCTCACGTGCCCTGAAGGTCTTTAATTACAGTGTTCTGACTCTGCAGACTGTCCTCAGAGCACTACTTTATCTTTGGTAAAAGTCACAAAGAGGTCTAATGCAAGCAGGGCTACAGATCAACCCATGACAATAGAGGCTCAGCTTAAACATCTGGAATTATTCACTTAATCTATGCCAAGATTTTTAAGTGGGGAGGGAGGGGGACTCATATTAGACCTATCAGCTAAATGCTCACTAAGAAGACTCTTACTGAAAAAGAAAAGTACCTAACAACTATTGAAAAGGTTGCTTCTGCCTACATTTACACTAACTGACCCTACAAGGTTACTCACGCTTGGGCATGAACTCTAAGACGCCAGCTAGGGAACACCAGAGGCAAAATTTACCTCCTTCATACACAGAGATTCTGTTTAAGCAAAACATTTTCAATACCACAAAGAAAAAATTAAAACAAATAAAAATCAACAAAAAAACCACTTCCTAACCACAACATTAACCTATTCCAAGATATTGGAAAGACAGATCAGTTATTCCCCCATTACTGGAAGGGAAATTAAAATCTCCTAACCTCAGTTAATCTTAAGAATACTTAGTAATACCATTAAAGTGACTTCACAAAACATTCCATACTTCCTAGAAATGCAGGCATCACTAGCTTTAAATTAGCTTCCACCAAAGAAATGCAAACCACCCTTCAAGCAACACAGTACAGTTCTGCACATGATAAAAGCATTAGTGACCCAAGCTACAAGGTAAATTTTTATCCCATTATTCTTCATCAGCTTTACTCACTAATAAAACCTCCCTCTTATTTATTCTATATTTTCACTTCAGCTGCTACTAGGCAGACAAGAAACTCAGAAGTGTGAGATAATACTTCATCACTGCTTTTGAGCATAAAAGAACACACCTGAAGAATTGAATTTCTCAGAGGAAGAGAACAGAAAAGCAGAGAGTACAAAACATTTGCTCTCCTCCTTGATAATTAAGGTTTACCTTTCTATTTATAACCTATTATCCAATGATAAGAAGAAACATCTCAACTCTGCTCTCACTAAAACACATCTCAGCTATCCAATCCAACTTCTGGGTTTCTCAGCATCAATTTATTTGAGTTCTATGGAACTATATGGTAGATATGGGTTACTACCTGAACCAAAGTAGTTTCCCACTTATTTTTCAGGCCCTAACATTGTTTCCTGGTCCAACAAGGTCATGAAAAAAAGACCTATTTTGATCTGACATTTAATTGAACAGATGCACTGGTTTACTTGATGATGAACAGTTATAAGCAGTCAATTCCTAGTGTGCCTCTAGGTTCATTCTCTCAAAAAAACAAGGACACAGCTGTTAACTTGAAGGACAATGAGGACAGGTGGGAGCAAGAGCCCAGACCACAGCTAAGCAATGGAGTCAGGAAGCCCTAGACTAAACAACTCTGGTGTGTCCTAGACAAAATGAAGGACTGCCCTGGGCCTCATTTTCTTTGTACTAATGAAGGAGATATTTTTCAGGATGCTGTGATGATTAGAGATATTGTAGATGTGTGCCCAACACAATGTCCACCACAAAGGAGGTTCTCAATAAATGTATTCAGTGGCAATACACCAAGGCAAAACAGCTGTAAACCGCAGAAGGGACAGTGAAAATTAACATGCACTACTCATGCACAACTCAAGATTCTTGTTTTTAAACTTCTTTTTCTCCTCTTAATTTCAAAAATGCCCTCTCATAAGACTACAAATAGAAATAGAATTTCTTTCCCTGTTGGTAGATCTTTCTCCTGTATTTCCTACAGAGTGTGAGCAAACAAGAGTTTGCATCAACTTCTCTGTGCAAAAGAACATCAGCATACGGGACACTTCACCAGTCGGTTAACTTTAGTCTCACATATGGGAAAGAGAGCAAAGGTGATGAAATACATTCATTATACTCTCATCCCTCTAGACACAAATTTGGAAATCTTTACTCAAAACTCAAGCTTCTCTAAGCACCAGCCTCCATGTGCAAACACAGTCTGTCCATAATTTTTCAAACTGCTTACTGAAAGTAGCAGCCTTTGAACTCAAGGCTTCAAAAATGACTTCTAAGACCCTGTCATCTTTCACTGTAGCTTGCCAGGTTGTTACAACATGGAAGGCCAGCAAAAGCAGGTCCACATAAAGCGAGCTGTTTTCAGGTCAACTTTCCGCAAAAGGAAACAATAATACAAGAAACAAGTAGAAAGGTACTAAAAAGCGGAGACTGTATTTCAAAGTGGTAATAGATGCAACAAGTCTCAAAGGGATACAGTTGCCCCTTGGTATTCATGCAGGATTGGTTCCAGGAGTTTCCTTGGATACCGAAATTTTCAGATGCTCAAGTCCTTTATATAAAATGATGTAGTACAATGCACACAATGTGTACATGTTAAAAAATTCAAGACTCCAGTCAGATACTAAGAGGAAATGGTGTCTCCCACCATGAACAGTATCTATAAGCATAAATCCTGAAGAGGTGCTAGGAGCAGTCCCAAAAGTTGGTAAAACCCCATACAATCTGGCAAAGTAGCCAATATCAATTAACTATTACTAATAAAAATGGCAGGGAATGAAAAGGAAAGTCTGTAAGAGATAAAGAAAAAGAAAGCAACAGCAGAAGGTGATAACAAGTCAATTCTCCTAAAGTCTCTGCCTCGAGGTCATCAGTCCCTCATGTAACTCCCCCTCTTCCTTTGACTGTGGGCTGAAGCTACTGACTTGCTCCTAAGGAACAATACAAAGCAAAAATGACAGGAGTGTTGCTTTCAAGACTTAAAATACTGACTTCCATCTTGTTTCTGCTCCTCTCTCACCCTTGCTCCTTCTCACTTTGATGAAACTAGCTGCTATATTGTGAGCTGCCCAACAGAGACACACATATGGCAAGGAACCAAGAGAGGCCATTGGACATCAATTAGTTAGGAACTGAGGTCCTCAGTCTAACAACCTGCGAGAAACTTAACCCTGTTACCAATCACGTGAGTGAGCTCGGAAGCAGTTCCTTCCCCAGTTGGGACTTTGAGATGACTGTAGCCCGTGCTGGGGCTGAAATCTTGACTGCAGCTTGTCAGGGACTCTGAAATAGAGAATCTTACAAAGTCATGACTGGGATCCTGTTTTGAGCCACTAAATTTTGGGGTAATCTGGTAAGCAGCAATAGGTAACTAATATAGCTGTGAATATACACAAGGGTTTTCTTACATTTAAAATATCTTTAAGATTTTATTTTCAAGAAGCAAGTCTTGTTCTACTTCCAATATTTTTTAATTTGGAAAAAATTTCATCTGTTTCACTTTGTCTTATAGCCCTTCTGTAATAAAAAGAAAAATTACTGGTTTTTTTAATTCTGCAAAATTAAATGGACTTAGATACGTTAAGCTGAGAATTAGTAGCCATCACAAAGCCAGGAGTCATCTAAAGCAAAGACACTGTTTGAACCTGATCATACTAAAAGGAGCTGTAATCTACTGAACATAAAACAAAGTGATGATGAGTATCCAATTATTTCAAATTAAGATTCAAGCCCTCTAAAGGTTAACATCATCCATAGCACAGGCTAAAGCATCCAGGTTTGCCAACCTGCAAACCTTCACTTCTTGCTGCCATCATTCAGTCACCAAGTTGTATCCTTTGAGACCTCACGGACTGAAGCAGGCCAGGCTGTCCTCCACTATCTCCCAGAGTTTGCTCAGATTTATATCCATTGAGTTTAATTCATGTCCATTAAACTTTCACGTAAGCCACACCTAAATTCAATCACCAAACATTCAAATGCAACTAGTCTATGAAAAAGATGGTTATTGCTTACCCCATCAAGAACTTGAAAATAAAGACTGCTCTCTGACAGGAACAAAGAACAGATCACAGCAGAAGTTTACAAAATTCAACTTAAAGAAAGATTAAGCAATAAGAGGATTAAGAGATTTGACAATTCTAAAGGAAGATAAGGGAATTAGGAATTGGTCCAACAAAAGAAAAGGAGAGCCAGGGAGTCAGATGAAGAAGGCAGTATCGTCCAGTACCCAAGTTTAGGGAGAACCAATAGGATGCACAAACAAGTCTGTCGTTATAAAAGCAACTACTGCATCAGACTAGCAGTGTGGGTACAGTAGCCACTAAAAACAGCCAAGTTCCCTGGCTCAGACTCTGCTTACCAAGCAAACGTCTTAAGAGGACTTTGTTTCCACCTACAGCCAAACATGCTGATCCACTTGAGAACTGCTCTCTCTCTTTATAAATTAGTAAACAGCATTTTAGTTTTCATACACTCATCTCCTGTGGTTCTAGTTAGTACAGGTCAGTACTATAAACCAATCAGCTCTAAATTAGTACATCCCCTTTAAGACATACAAATTGAGAACCAGGGCCTGGGAGGTCCTACCATCTGACAGAAGGAAATGGCAACCCACTCCAGTACTCTTGCCTGGAAAATCCCATGGACGGAGGAGCCTGGTGGGCTACAGCCCATGGGGTCACAAAGAGTCGGACACGACTGAGCGACTTCCCTTTCACCATCTGACACAGCAATACAACAGACCTTGTGCTCGTCCTCGTGCTGTCCCATCACATGGGAGTTCCTAACTGCCCCTCCAATAGCATCTGCTCTTCAGTCTTTAGAAGAAAAACACATACAGTATTTAATCCAGGCTTGAACTTCAGGTTTGTAAAAAAAAAAAGAAGAGTAAAGAAATACAGTTAAGCTTATTCATGAGAATAAAGTAGAAACCAAGCACCACTGGTTTATAAGCAATGTCAGCCACTTGGGAAACCTCTCTAAATTTTGTTTGGAAACACTTTTTTTAAAAAAAAGACAATACACAAAGCCACACTTGCACAACCAACCATCACATTAACCCCTACCAACAGCCCTTTAAACAAAAGTGTTC